GGGGAAGGCGAGATTCAACCTCGTTTCTTCCTTGACTGCAGGTCTCGACTGTCGTAGGAGAGGGTAACAGATGGAGGTTGTAAGGCTGCAACCGTACCCGGTCCTCGGCCCTTTACCACCTTCGTACGTGCGTACGGGCACGGTGTGGTGCAGGTTTGCCAACGGCGCCCTTGGGTCGACTTACTATTAGGCCTGGCACCACGTTGCTTGATGAATTAACGTCCTACGCGCAGCGACCGTACTAGACTGGCGATCTTTAAGCGTGTTCTCGCAGTTCGCCGTAAGCTGGGAGTGAAAATTGTCTCACACTTCGACTGGAAGACTGCAAATCCACCCAGGGTATTTTATACGCTCCTGGATTGTGGGTTCCGAACCGTTCGACAGTCAAGGGAGGTTCGAGTGTCCACCTTGATACCTCGGACACGACCTCTGATTACAGCGATACGTGTCTGTATTCAGACTGAGGTGGATCGTACCCACTGCTGAATTCGAAATCTCGGATTATAACCTGCGAGATCTTTACAGTCTTTGGATCAGGTCGTATTCCGACCTGCTCTGTTTAATTGGTAAACGGCTTACAGAAGTTCACGGGATGGGATTGTTTTCCAATCCGTTCCGTATTGAACTTGTTGTTCACGTTTACGGCTCTTTTAAATAGTAAACGGGTTGCGGAAGTTCACGGTATGGGATTGTTATACAATCCGTTCCGTATTTGAACTTCCTGCCCACGTTTACGACTCTTTGATTTTAAATTGTAAACGGGTTTTGCGGAAGTATCGACGGTACCGGATGGGTTCCCAATCCGTTCTCGTACTGCACTTCCAACCCACATTTACAATTTCGTTGAAAGTTCGAGTGACTCGAAACTATTCGAAAGTCTTGGAAATTACGGGGGAGCGGGATCGTATACCCATCTGCTCACTGCCGGTTCCAAATTAAGAGTAACGATCTAGCACAGATAGTCAAATTCGGAGGGGAGAATCTCCGACTAGCGGCGCTGAAGACAAATTTGAATTCGTCTTTGTCCAACTTATTATTGTCGTATCTTCTCTCTCTACACGAGTCGAAACGTTAGCTCGAAATTACGCGTAGATTGGTCGATCGCGTGATGTTTCGAAGAAACCCGTATGTGACAGTTTTTATATCCTGTCTTGTTTTCGCGTAGCGGACACGAGAGCCCAACATTCTCGAGTCGGTTACGTACGCAGAAAAACAATACCGAGTGACGAATAATATTCTACTATTCTTGCATGCTTCGAATTAACGCGATATTTAAACAATCGTTAAATCGTTAAATCGTAATATAACGTTAATAAATCAATAAGTAATTAATTGTTTGTCTTGTATTTTTATGTATTTATTTTATTTATCTTATTTATTTTTAGTTATTTAACCTTCCCTTCGAAAATACACATCGAGAATCGAGAAATAGGACCACTTGACCAATCTCGCCCCCCCCCCAAATGTGCATCGGTTAACGGCTATTCGTTGTGCGTACGCCATTTGTTCTGTGGCAATTGGTGTGATAAGTGCGTTGACAGTTTCACGTCTAATTAAGTTCGTATTTTTCATTCCTAAACGTTTTTAACCGTTATCATTACGTTCCGTTAATCTCTATCGGTGCTTTCATACAATATTAATACATATCTATGGCAAACTTGTGTTTTATTTCTATTATAGCCTGCGATTGCAATTCAAGCACATGGAACGCTACCGGCACGCAATCGACGGCATTATGCAAATGTAACAAGCGACGTGAGTATATGTATATGATATAAATTTTGTATGCTTTTCATCGAGTTCTTTTCATCATAGTTTTTTCCTTTTAGACATTTTGATGATCGCGCGCAATGCGGTCGGTAGAGTCAGTGTTTGTTTCGTTGAATAGTTTTTTGTTTTTTGAAGCACATTGGCTTCGATTAGATTATTGTAAGGAGTTTTGGAGGAAAACGCGAAAGTCGAGTCAGTGTATACTGCGCATTTGTAAATCTTTTCCAGAGCATCGGGGCTCTCGTTTCTTCACGAATCGCGACTGTAGATTTGTTTGCCGATGTTGATTTTCGATCGCGTTAGGTCATTATTTTTTTCAATTATTTCTTTCAAAATTTAGAATTACTTGTTACCGGTATTAGAATCAGTGCAGCACTGAAGCGGAGTTTTGGGCGATGCTCTACAAGCGAATAATGTAAATATTATACTACACTTTTCTACGCACGTATAGAAAAAAATGATATTTTCAAATTTTGTTATCTATTTAAAATTTGTTAAACTATCAAAAACCTGTGATTAGTTCTGAACCAAGAGTCTTTTATATTAAACTATCATACCTATCATACCTATCATTTTTGCAATAGATGATAATTCTTTTTTCCTGTACTTCTCAGTTTCTGAATCCCATCCTTAGATCCTGGACACCAACGGGACCATGCAGATGACTTCGCTGATGACGCTGACGACGCTGAGGACTCGTCGCTAAGGTATATTGTCATTGAAGTCAGCAATTGGTGAGTCGCATGCGACTTTTATTCCTCCGATGCCCAATCACGTCGTAGGACGAAAGGTCTGAATCGACGCGGATAACCGGTTGTATAGATATTTTTAGCGAGTATAGTGACCACGGGTATTTCTTATACCCGTAAGTAGTAATATATATTATTTTATTTTTTAGTTCAGCTTAGGGTCTTTTTTGTATTTCGTGTTTTTTTTAATATATGAAATGTTCATAAAATGAATGTTTTTACGAACCTGTTAACCTCTGGAAGACAAGTTTTTGAATATTAATCGTTTCCTTAATTATTACAACATATGATGTTGAGTAATGTATAGTATTAGATACAAAAAGACAATTCGCGACTGGTCGATTTTTAAGTGAAAGTAACGAGAACTGTATACTATTTTCACCTTTTAAAAAATTTACTTTGACATCAGAATCGATTGAGGATAGGTGTATATTTGAATTTATAATTGAATAAATTTATTTAAACGTTTTATCTAAAATTTTCAAAGTAAACTATTTTATCGTAAAATCTTGTTTAAAGTCAATCCTTTTTATTGGAAATAGGTGGTGGAATAAATAAAATAATTTAAACGATATAACTTTTACTAGCTTTATTTGAAACACTTAGAAGGCACGTCTTTACGCATTGAAAGAAACATACAGAATGAGAAAGGTCAGTGACGAAGAATTTGTCCCGTACCCTCAGACCCAATCGGTCCTATACTTTGTCTAAACAAGTCAAGGAAGGGACACAGCTGCACCCTCTTGACTCGTATTTCTAAACGCAACATACGCGTCGATGGTTTTTGTTACATAAAGAAAACTTTCTCTTTTAGAAGAGAAAAACCAACAAGCCTCCTCAAAAATTAATCGACTGCGCTAAACTAACGATATACCTTCCATGTGCTTTTTCTGGGGCAAATACATATGGTTCAACATTTGTTGCTGAGGATTAGGGAAATCCAGAAAAACCTAATCAAACCATTATACTGGAATATAATACATTTATACATATTTACAAGAATAATTTATTATATTATTCCAATCCCATTCCTGTTCTAAATTCCAGGAATTTGACTCCTGGTAGCGGCTTGGTCATGACATCTGCCAACTGACTACCTGTGGGAATGTATTTTAGTTTAATTACTTTCTTCTCAATCTGTTCCCTTGAGAAATGATACTTTATGTCTATGTGTTTTGACCTTTTGTGATCAGTTGGATTATTCGCTATGCTAATACAACCATTATTATCTTCATAAATAATAATTGGGTTTGAAATGTTTAATTTTATACTATTTGCTAATGATTTTAACCATAATGACTCTCTAACGGCTTCAAAAAAAGCCATGTATTCAGCTTCAGTAGATGAAGCTGCTACTGATGCTTGTTTCTTTGTGTTCCAACAAATAGTACAACGTTCAAACAATTTGAATAAGAAACCAGTAGTACTTTTTCTGTCATTTTTATCATTTCCTCCCCAATCAGAATCTACATAACTTGTTTAAATATTTTCATAACTACCTCGAACAAAAATTAATTTAACATTAATCGATCCCTTCAAATATCTTAATACTCGTTTTAAACATTTCCAGAGTTCCTCATTATTTTTATTTAGGTATCGGCTTAAAATATTAATTGCCGTACATAAATCTGGTCGAGTACATAAGATTATATACATTAAACATCCGACAAGATTTCGACAAGGAGCGTCATATTTCTTATCGGAATTCAAAGCTACATAATCTAGTTTATTTTCCAGAGGTGTACTTACAGGTTTACATTCAGACATTTTGAATTTATTTAAAACTGTTCGGATATATGCACTTTGATCCATTGATATTTTATCTACACTTCTCTCGATTTTTATCCCCAAGAAAAGTTTAATATCTTTTAGATCTACCATGCTAAATCTATTCATTAAATAATTTTTGAAGTTATTCATTTCTTCAATATTAGCAGTAGCGATTACCAGATCATCTACATAAAGTACCACATATATATTTTTCAATATATTTCCTTTATCTAAAATATAAATACAACAGATGAATTTTGAAAACCTTTACTTTTAAGAGTTTGTTCAAATACTTCTGTTGTATTTCGAATATGGCGCGCGAATCTAGAACGCGTTTGCCGCACGCGACACTAGGAGCGAGAAGTTGTTCGTTTGTTTTTGTTTGCGCACGAGGGCCGAGAGGTCGTTGTAAACCGGCGGAGATTAGCGAGTGAGCACATGTACGAGAGCACGAGAATAAAGATATAGAATTTGACTCCGCGCATCCGACGCTGACCGTGACCGGCAACCTTGCATCCACTCGCACTTACCCCAATATACAACAAACTGGCGACGAGGATGGGATTTGGCGGAATACTGAAAGGCAAAGTGGAAAAAGAAAAAGAATATTGAGGTTACGAAAACACGTGGCGAACGACTAACCGTACGGGCACGCGAGTACATTTTCATACTATCTCGTTACAAATCGAGAACGATAGTGCCTACATTACGATGGCCGAAACGGTCGTACATAGCAATTTCGCAATTGAAACCTTCGATTCCACGACCACGAATTGGAAACGTTGGCTTAAAAGATTCGAAGGGGCTGTTACAGTTTTTAAAATACCGGATGCGCAAAAAGTTGCTTACTTACTACACTTTATTGGATCGAAATCTTTCGATATTATTTGCGATAAATTAGCGCCACTCGAGCCGTATACGCAGACGTACGCTACAATTACGTCTCATTTGGAGGAATTTTATGCGCCGACGCCATTGGAAATTGCGGAGAATTACCGTTTTCATCAACGGAAACAGACCGAAGGGGAAAGCATACATCAATTCGTGGCGGCTTTACACAAATTAAGCATTAATTGCAATTTCGGAAGCTACCTGAAGACCGCGTTGAGAAATCAATTCGTTTTTGGACTGGTGAGCAGACGTACACAAGCAAGGCTATTGGAAACCAAGGAATTGTCATTTGACAAGGCAGTGGAGATCGCCCTCTCGATGGAATTGACGGAAAAGGATGTCAATCAGATTCAAGCAGCAGGATCGGCGACCGTGGAGTACATGGGTCATAGGGAACCTCCAAGCACCAAAAAGGGCAGGCAAACCCAGCATAAGAACCCGAGTTCATTTGCGAAAACAAAGCGATCACCACAAAATACATATAATAATAATAGTAATAGTAGTACACATTATCGCGTGAATAACAACGTCTCATGTTTCAGATACGGCGGTAAACATTTAGCGTCAAAATGTTCTTTGAATAGAGAAATTGTATGTTCAAACTGTGGCGTCAAGGGACATTTAGCTAAAGTGTGCATGAAAAAGAATAGGGCGTCGGCGAATCGGTTGAGCGATGTTCTGTTGGTCAACACGGAGCATATCCGGCACCGGGAGAGGTATTTTGCGCGGGTTCTCGTGGAAGGCACGGAGGTACGTTTTGAAATAGACAGCGGAGCGGCAGTAACGATTGTAGGTAAGAACTTCGTTAAGCAACAGTTTCCAGATGCACAAATTGAAAAGTCAGAGCTACAATTGTTTACATTCTGTAAAACCACAGTTCCGGTAATAGGCTACGTAAAGGTACGGGTTCAATATAAGGGGATGAGCAAATTATTACACATGTATGTTACAAGTATGAATAGGGAACCACTAATGGGACGAGAGTGGATTCGACAATTAACCGTACAATTAAATGATACAGTCTGGGTTTTAAGCGCGAATAGAGAGCCCGAATTACAGTCAATTCTACAAAGGTACCAAAGTAAGTTAGACCCGTCATGTTCCAAAATAAAGAAAATACAGGCGCGACTCACATTAAAAGAAACAGCAAAATCGATTTTTTTGAAAGCGAGAAAGGTTCCGTTCAAGATAATGCCTTTGGTAGAACAGGAGATTAAGAGATTAGTAGGAGAAGGTATCCTACAGGAAACTAATACATCTTCATGGGCAACGCCTATCGTGCCCGTATTAAAAAAGGATAATTCCGTGAGGTTGTGTGGCGATTTTAGTGTGACCGTCAATCAGCAGTTAGTAGTAGACGAATACCCCTTACCAACAATCGACGAATTGTTTAGTACGTTAGCAGGGGGGCAGAAATTTTCGAAAATCGATTTGAAGCAAGCGTACCTTCAAATGGAAGTTCATCCAGAGGATAGAGAAATCCTGACGCTCAATACGCATCGCGGACTATTTAAATGTACACGGCTACTCTACGGAATTGCATCAGCACCCGCGATTTGGCAGAGAGAAATTGAGAAGGTATTACAAGGTATCCCCGGAATTTCGGTTTTCCTGGACGATATAAAGATTACGGGTCCCGACGACCAAACGCATCTGGAACGGCTTAACGCGGTTCTTACTCGGTTAGCAGAATACAATATCCGAATGAACATGGAGAAAAGCGAATTTCTCGTAGATGGCATACATTACTGCGGCCATTACATTGATAGAAACGGGATACATAAGGAAAGAAAGAAAATGGAGGCGATCGAGCAAATGCCACGGCCTAGAAATATTTCAGAGTTGCGTGCGTTTTTAGGCTTAGTCAATTATTATGGTCGGTTCATCCGGAATTTAAGCACGATACTCACTCCACTACATACGTTATTAGAAAAGGTAGGCGGCAAACCTGTACCATTTAAGTGGACGCGGTCGTGCGAAGCAGCGTTTGCGGCCGCGAAAAGGGCGTTTACAAGTAACGAAGTGCTAGCTCATTACGACCCTAAACTGCCATTGATTGTTGCATGCGATGCAAGCAAGTACGGCGTGGGGGCCGTACTTTCCCAAAAATATCCGGACGGATCAGAGCGCGCCATTCAGTATGCTTCGCAGTCACTGTCCCGAACGCAAAGGAATTACGCGCAAATCGATAAAGAAGCATATGCAATAATTTACGCGCTAAAGAAATTTTATCAATTTCTATACGGCAACCGTTTTACGTTATACACGGACCACAAACCACTTACGCAAATTTTCAGTCCGAGTAAAGCACTGCCAATACAAAGTGCAATGCGGATGCAGCATTACAAGATCTTCCTGCAAGCTTTCAACTACGACATAAAATATAAAAATACGATACACAGCAATGCAGATGCACTGTCGCGGCTACCGGTCCATTCCGAAGACAATAATGATTTCGACATAGTGGACGATTATGAGATTAAATTAATAGACTCCCTGCCCATTACCTTTAAAGAATTAGCGACGGGAACTGCGAAGGATGCTAAATTACAACAACTGGTACAAGCGTTACAATCGGGTAGACACTTGAAGCCAAACGAAAGATTTAATGTCCCGCTCACAGAATTCAGTTGCCAACAAGGCATACTGATGCGCGACAGTAAAGTGCTGATACCGCGGAAATTACGTAACAAAATTTTGGATGAACTGCACGAAGGGCATTTGGGTATTGTGAAAATGAAGTCCCTGGCGAGAAGGTACTGTTGGTGGCCGGGGATCGACAGTGACCTCGAGAGGTTAGCCAAAGATTGCGGAAACTGTAACTTAGTAAGAAACAACCCACCGAAAATACAGGTACAAACGTGGCCGCAGACAGAAAGAGTATTTCAAAGAGTGCACATAGACTACGCAGGACCTTTTAAGGGTCATTATTTCTTCGTACTGGTGGACGCGTTTTCAAAATGGCCAGAACTGTTCATTACAAATGACATAACAAGTAGTACGACAATTGAAAAATGTAGACAAGTTTTTGCAACCTTTGGTATACCCGAAATGATTGTGTCGGACAACGGCAGACATTTCACATCACACGAATTCAAAGAATTCCTAAAATTCAATGGTATTGTACACAAAACTACAGCACCCTTTCATCCGGCGACAAACGGGCTGGCAGAAAGATGGGTGCAGACCTTTAAACTGATGTTAAATAAAAAATTGCAAGGCACATTAGTAACTAAGAAAGAATTACAGGTAGCAGTGCATCAAATTTTACTGCGTTATAGGAATACGCCCCACCAGTCGACAGGCGAGTCGCCGGCTGAAAGGATGTTCAACCGCAGATTGCGCACGCGTCTCGACTTACTACTACCAAGGGAGAACACGGTACACGAGAAGGGCCTTGATAAGAAACGTGGAATTGTACGAGAATTGCAACTGGGCGATAGAGTAGAATGTCGAAATTATTACGGGAAAGAGAAATGGGCTCTGGGTCGTGTAAAGCAAAGACTCGGATATGTACATTATGTAATCCGTTTAGATAACGGTAAAGAGTGGAAACGCCACATCAATCAAATTCAAAAAGTAGGGAACGTGCCAATACAGGGAAATAAAGCAAGCGACATATTAGATTACGGGCAGCCAAACGATATAATTGTAAACGTACCTGCCGTAGCCGCCGACGAAACCGACAGTAGAATAAATGGGGAACAGCGTGAAGCCTCAGCGGAATCAAACGTAGGGATTACACCGCGTAGATCATCACGAAATCGAAAACTTCCAACACGATGCGGAATGCCGATTCCATGGGAGTAGATAACAATACGCGATACATATATATTATTTTTTTTTAGTTTTGTTCCTCCCATACAACTCAGTACTCTCCCAAGAATTCATTTTTTTTCCCCCCGAGAAGGGAGAGAATGTTGTATTTCGAATATGGCGCGCGAATCTAGAAGGCGTTTGCCGCACGCGACACTAGGAGCGAGAAGTTGTTCGTTTGTTTTTGTTTGCGCACGAGGGCCGAGAGGTCGTTGTAAACCGGCGGAGATTAGCGAGTGAGCACATGTACGAGAGCACGAGAATAAAGATATAGAATTTGACTCCGCGCATCCGACGCTGACCGTGACCGGCAACCTTGCATCCACCCGCACTTACCCCAATATACAACAACTTCAAACCAGCATCTTGCTGCTTGTTTTAACCCGTAAATGGCTTTATTTAATTTACAAACTTGGTTTTCTTTATTATCAATTCCTTCAGGAACTTTCATATAAATTTCCTCTTTTAATATACCGTTCAGAAAAGCAGTTTTCACGCCCATATGATGAACTAACAAATTATATTGATTAGAAAATGCCATTAAAAATCTGAAACTTGCTATTCTTGCAACTGGTGCAAATGTTTCATCATAATCAATTAAATATTGTTGACTGAAACCTCTCGCAACAAGGCGAGCTTTATATTTTAATGGGTTTCCAAATTCATCATTTTTAATTGTAAATACCCATTTACAGTCTACAATATTCTTGTTTTCGGGTCTTGGCACTAGATTCCATGTTTCATTAACTATAAGAGAATTAATTTCGTCTTTAATTGCCTGTTCCCACCGAATTCTATCGTGCCTATTTTTAATTTCCTGATACGATGTAGGTATCTTACAAACAAGAGATTGAGCACACATACAATCATTTTGCTCATCAATCTCATTATACGAAATAGGTGGACGATGTTTAATCCTATCACTCCTTCTTACCTCGGGTGATAATTGTCTTTTATTACTAGATGAAGGGCCTGAGATATCTGTTTCAATTACAGATTTATTAAGTTTATGACTTAATTCGATATCTTTATTTGCCTTTATTGTTTCGGATTCTACTATATCTGATTTATTACTATCAGATTTATGAGACATCACTGATTTTGACTGCATGCCAGGTGAATCAGTTTCAGACTGTACCTTTACAGTCCTGGATACCAAATCGGTTTTATTATGATGGGAGCTTTCTGGATTAACCCCTTCGGGCTGTACCATTACAGGCCTGGATTCCAAGAAATTTGTCTCATCTACAATCACATCCCTAACTATGGCAAATTTATTACTTTCCACGTTCCACACTTTATACCCATTCGATTCATATCCGACTAGAATACCTTTCCAAGACTTTTCTTCGAATTTTGTTTGTCTTGTTTTATTATGTATATAAACCGTCGAACCGAAAATTTTTAAATACTTTAATTGAGGCTTTTTATTATGCCACAATTCATATGGTGTTTTTGACTTTTTTAGAGCCTTAGTTGGGGTTAAATTGATCAGAAACGTAGCAGTAAGGACGGTTTCACCCCAAAAAACCTTTTCTAAATTTGCCCCGGCAACCATTGCACGAGCCCTTTCTGTTATTGTCCTTACCATACGTTCCGACACACTATTTAACTGTGGAGTTCGAGGAACCGTTAAGTGGTAACTAATACCCTTTTCAACAAAATATCCCTTCATCTCGTTTGACAAATACTCTCTCCCGTTATCACAATACAAATTTGCAATTTTTAAATTAAAATGAGCTTCACTCTTTGCTACATAGTCTCGAAAGACTGAAAATACATCTGATTTATGTGTGATCAGGTACGTAACACAATAGTGAGTGAATTCGTCTACAAAAAGAACAAAATAATTTTTTGTCATTAATTGTCGAAGGAGTGATTGGACCACAGACATTTGAATGTACTATAAACAATGGTCGTTTTACATAACTTTTGTCTTTTGCATTTCTGAACGGTAATCGTGCTTGTTTTCCGTTTATACAAGCTTCGCATAATCTATCATGGACTTTAACTTTTTCTAATTGGCCCATGTCTAAAAACATTTCTTTATTCTTTAACTCTAAGAATTTATTTTTCCCGATATGGGAATAATAATCGTTGATGCCATAATTCATAAGTACTGGTTTCATTTAAAAGTATCGTTGAATTTACAATATTTGAACAAACCGTAAATTCTATACCAGTTAAATTGTTCAGTGGCTTAGCTGATATGATGACCTTACCACTGTAGGCTCCCACAAGGTTCGTGGAGCCGTTTTATTTAGTAAATAGAAAGTTCAATACTATTTACCAATACTTGAATTTATTTACAATATGTACATATGTGTTAACAGTTTTTCAATGTTCTTGGTTCAATTTTAATCCTTAGTTCGATTCTAATTTGCAACGGTTCTTGAGGTATTCTAACTGTTCTGAAATGTTCTAATTGAAGAGTCCTATGCCCCGCGAATATATACGGATTCCCAAATAGGTGGAGACATTGTGTATCCAATCAAACCCCTGTCCATCCCTCGTGGGCCAGTCCTCAGATATTCGAAATCCCGCCCACTAAGGGTGGTACAGGGGTGGATGTCCGCGGTCCCAAGGGGCAGGTATGGTCCCAAAGTACGGTGCTTAACGGCTTAATAGTACGGCAATTTGCTTTGTACCCTAAGGTACTTGCCAAATTGCTAATCAAGTAATTTAACTAATGTTAACTAAATAAGGGGTCCGCTACTAAGTGTTGGAATTCCCAACAACCACTTTTGACAATTTTTACGCCTTCTTCGTCAAAAATTACGGACATGCCGGCCTCTTGAATACGACGTACCGACAATAAATTGTACGGCACATCTGGGCAGTAGTAGACCTCTTCTATTGTACCTGGGATGCCCATATTCGTTGTTATCTGCAGCGAGCCCCTTTTCGTCGCTGTGATGAAGGTCCCGTTCTTTGCCACGGAAATTTTTATTGGCTCTTCCAAAACTCCGAAATTCAATGCCAAATCCTGTCTATTGATTAGGTGATCCGATGCACCCGAATCGAGCAGGAACATTATTTTTTTCTCGTCATCTCCTTGATGAAAGCCATCTCCAGCCATAAATGCAAAGCTGGAGGTATTGCCCTTCGATGTAGACGGTGTGCTTTTCATTTGCACCGTCTGTACAGTTTTATTTTGTTCAGCTTGATGCCGATGCTGTACTGTTCTCTTATAATAAAAACAATCCTTCTTCATGTGACCTTTTCTGCCACAATGATGACATTTTATCATATTCGATTTCACCGATTGAAATTGTCGTCCTTTTAGTTGTCCTTTATTTCTCTTAAATACTTTCGTACTGCCGAAGTTTACTTTCTTCAAAACTTTATTCGCTTGAAGTACCTTTAGACTTGTATCACGCGATTCGTCATTTAATTTGACTTCATGGTCAAGAAGTCGAGTCTTAACGAACGCCAGCGTTAAACTATCCTCCGATAGAGTTTCAATGGCGGTTATCACGCCGTCATAGGAGGTAGGTAAAGTTAATAATAAATGAGACACCTTGTAGGGGCTTGTGGCGATCGTAAGATCTTCAAGCTTTGGAAGGTTTGCACGTAATGTGCCGACTTGCTCGAAGGACCAGCAGTGCACGTTGTGTGCTGCCAAAGGTTGATTGAAAAACCTTATTTAGTTAAGGATTGTCTTTATTTACAATTTATAATGCACGTAGAGTGCTGCTGATGTTGCTTATGCGTTGCACGTGGTGTGCTGCCTATGTTCAAAAAACGTGTGTGTCAAAAATTACAAGTGTGGGGCCTTAAATGTTACCTTGAAAATCAGCCTCTAGCCAATCAGAAAATTTCTCCTTCCTGATTGGTGCGCTGCTACTTCTCTACCTTCGCATCCAAGACGGTGGTCTACATGTCACAGGTACTTGGCGGAAAAACCCTGACCCAACGGTGGTGTCAGGCCGTGCGGTACCTCGTCCCATTAGCAAACGCTGCTAATGGCTTTTAGGGCCCTATTGCCTTAAGGGCACTAGTCAAATGGCTTTATAAGGTGGCAATTCATATTGTGAATCTAAACACACCTTGTCTGTCTCTTCAAGTCTCGCACCCGCAGCTGCAAGCTCCGATATAATATCATCAAACACTGTAAAATGTTTGACTAGTGGTGTAGCTTGTTGCAATTTTAATGTTAATAATCTTTTTTTTAATGCTAATTGAGTAGCAAGGCTTTTTCGCTCATAAATAGAGTCCAAATTTTTAAACACTTGTCGCGCACTACTGTTTGTTTCCGCAAAACTTAAAAAAGAGTCCGATAAATATTCAATAATTATGTTCTTTGCAGTCCTATCTGCTCTTATCCACTCAGCACTTAACATATCCGGAACTTCGTTGTCGATAACATAAATCACATTCAGTTCTGTTAACAATGCACGAATTCTAAATTTCCAGACACTATATTTTTCACCATCAAATGGTTTAATGTTCCTTTTCATATTTACATCTTCCATTGTTTCTTTAATATTTATAAGAGCTATACACTAAATTACACTAATTATTACACTACGGATTATTATGCTAAGATACACACACTAATATTTATATATGTATATGTACACAGCAATTATAGTTTTGCTTTTTTTTAGTTCTTTTATTTTATTCCACACTACTCGCAGATAGCACAAAAACTAAACTGGGCCCATAACCTATTGGAAATAGGTGGTGGAATAAATAAAAAAATTTAAACGATATAACTTTTACTAGCTTCATTTGAAACACTTGGAAGGCACGTCTTTACGCATTGAAAGAAACATACAGAATGAGAAAGGTCAGTGACGAAGAATTCGTCCCGTACCCTCAGACCCAATCGGTCCTATACTTTGTCTAAACAAGTCAAGGAAGGGACACAGCTGCAACCTCTTGACTCGTATCTCTAAACGCAACATACGCGTCGATGGTTTTTGTGGCGTGCATGTGGCCGCACGATGGCGTTGTACGGCGGAGGCCGTGGCGTTCGTAGGGGAACCCCG